ATATATATAGACAATAAATAATANACAAAAAGAAACAATATATATATATATATATATATGTATATATATATATACATACATATGTATAATGCACGAAACTTGAAAGTGGAAACAGGCGCACCCAGTGAAGGATAAATGAGTGAGATTTCGAGCGAATCGTAAGAAAGTAAATTCGCATCCTCTGGTTCATAACAATACTTTGCGCGAGCGCCTATTTATTCCATCGACTTGATCGGTGCAACTAGCACAGCACACGGCTATGCACTGGTTGCAAACAACTCAACCTCACGTTGCCGACGTGCGTGTCATATGTGTGGGCAACACGTGATCAGAATGGCTGGACTGTATGGGAATCGCCGAACTGCGACTCCTTCAGCATCTCTGCTTCCCGCGCGTCTATAGCTTGCGCGTCTTCGTTGTACGTTGGGTTCTCCTGTGGTAGCGGAGAGAGGCAAGTGTGATATTAAAACTGTATCCTATAAAGCATCAAGCGATTATCGAGCGGTTGTTCATATTATCCAAACCGAATACACGTACAGATCTGGCTTTGCAATTACATCGACAGTATTGTGTGATGACTAAAAGTGGCGCACTTGTAATGAATGAACTCTCAAAGTATGGCATGTGCTCGAACACACCGATGACAGGTACGAGGGATGAGAGATTTCTGGCCCCTTCGCAGATGATCATAATATTCTACACATACCGTACCTAATTCGCTGGTCACTACGAAAGCATAACAAACACCCGAATGTGAATGAGTGACAATATTCCAATTTGAGCAACGCAAGGCTATACTAAAGACATGGTTGAAGCATAAATATACACCAAGGCAAGACGCATGCTTCCCGACCATTGATAAAGTGTTCTGTCGATTCATACCGATAGGTCTTCAGGAATTGCAAGATTCCTTAGATTGTCTGTGATATCATCTTCATCGCCTTGCAGTATTTGCACCAGATCGTAGATGGATTTTTCTAAGTAGTCAGTTTTCTCCCATTTGTGAAGCTCGCGGATGATTGGGTAGACCTTCTTCTCGCGCAAAGTATCACGCCCCGATCGCGTCGTACACAGCTGCGTGGTACGCAAACAAAGAAGTACTGAGAGTGAGGCAACAAGGTACGTAAAACACTTGCAAGACTAGCATCTTGAGATTTTGTCGTGCCAAAAGTGCCTTACCACTTTGCGTGCTGTGTAACAACCGCTGGCACTGAGTACATTTTGGTACATTCCTTGCTTGTCAGCAGAAAAGCTACATTTATAAAACAACCCCTATGATCCTACAAGAATGTAGACAAAGAAAATACACACACACACACACACACACACACACATATATATATACATATATATTAAAGAATGTACCTGTAACAGGGTCTCTACCAACATCTTGCGCAGTGCGATATCGGGCTCCCGAGTTTTATCATCGTCCAGATACTGCAGATCATCAGGCATGCCCTCCATCTCCTCTTCATCAAACTCCTCTGGTCCCGCCAGCGGTAGTAATAGTGCAGGCAAGATCTAAAGAAAGATATGTCGCGCAAACGGATGAGATCTGACCTTAACTAAAGCTGGACTAGATCGTTGTCATATCACGGCAAGGCAAAAACTTACGATCAAACCCCACGTAGCACAGGATGTATTGCAAAATGTTTTTTGATAAACATACGTTTACGTCATCACCAAGCAACCACATGTGTAGCTCGGCATCGAACGCCACATTGCGAATCATCGCAACCACTCCGCCCCTTCGAACAGGTTCAGTATGATTTAAAAATCTGAAGACGAAGAAGAAAAACATAACAATATCAGAGCGCTACAGACTTCAGGGCGAGAACAAATTTACTTCGTACGGAACAGCTACGATCAAAAGGACTCGCGAAGGACTTGCGGATAATACATTGCGTATGGGGAGCGGACGGCATGCGGCTATGCGTTGCGCACAGCTATCGTCGAACAACACCTCCGTATGGGAACAATCGTCTCATTCACGTTACATGCGCGTTCTGGCGTGAGCTCGATTTCGACTAAGGCCAGGGGCAAACATACGTAAGAAGTCGCTGGAAGGCGAATTTCTCCTTGTTGATCACTATCGCCCTGCCCTCTGGAAGTCGAGATATGTTCGCAAATACTGCACCGAGCCAGTGAAGCTGTTCCGGGGTTGATGGGTGTCATTAATACAATATGAAATCGATAGGCAACCATCTGCAGATGAGCTTATGATACAATATGTCGAGATAGTGATCGCGCATTAATATAATAAAAGCAGCGATTACTACAGAACACAATCTCACGAGAACCTTGTACACATGGGCCTGCCGCCGGCTGTTGCCTTGCTTCGAGACACTCAGTGCATTTATGCTCACCTTCTGGTTTTTCTTGTTGTAGCCCTCGAGGGCAAATGTATCTAGTAGTTTGTAGATGGCCGGCGAAGTTTCCTCGCCCTCTTTGGGCTCGTGCTGTTCCGTGGTGAGCGGTGCAGTGCCGGTTTCTTGCTTGGGGACCGGAGGACCCACGGTCGACTACAGGATGGGTAGATGAGTCATGTCAACGAAAGACTACTACATGGACAGATATGTGATGTCAACGATAGATGACAAGATGGATTTGAACATTGTCAATGGTCGACTACAGCAAAGGTAGATATGTTGTGTCAGTGGCTTCATCGTATGTGATGTCAACTGAGGAGGACCCACGGCAAACAAAACAGGCAAGAGAGATCACCGAGGCATGCCAAGTGTCAGTAAGGCTAGCGCACACTACCATTAGCACTACAGCCAGTACCGCCCACAGCTCGTGCTGTATAGCACTGTGATCGACACCCTATCACATATAAGTCTAATACCACTAGCTACTCTCCTAGGTATGCTACCACTGAGCAGCTGAGCAGCAACCGGTATGTTGAACCATACAAACAAGGAGAGTGTACGAGAAGCAAAGTGTACAGGGAGTGCACGAACAACATACCGAGAGGATGATGTGACAAGCCTCGTTGCTGTAGCGCGTCAGATTTGAGATAATATTGCAGGAGAGATCCGCGAACTCGGATTCCGGGTCCAAGATGTCTCGTATTAACATGGAGACAATATTCTTTCCTTCGCTCTGGATCTGTAGAGTAAGCAAAGAGCTTGAGTTGCACTGAAACCATCCTGCTCGTAGCTCACGAAGACGCACCGCGCAACACCTGTACAATCCTTGGCATGACAGTCCATCTGTGGTTAAGCAGATGCACCGATACAATACACCTTCTCACTACAAACCTCTGAGACACGCGTATGTATCAACTGGCGAAGAAGCATGCGACTACTCGGATATGCACACCATATAATAATCGTGTTCGCTCCTACCATCGCAACGGCGCGATCGCACGAGAACATTGAGTTGTAACCGACATAGCCTTAGATGCTACCATTCCATTTCTATCTACCTTAAGGTTACCTTAAGGTGTGGACTACATGATCATCTGTTCCGCCCATTTGGATGGTTAAATCGTGTTGCTTTGCCCTCAAGCGCCAGATACTAATCCTAGTATTTTTGGGCTATGCAGAACCCAAACCCTCGACCACCTTTAAGCGCAGCCGATGAACAGATGTAGTGTATTGAGGGTATCTACATACCATGTGCTCTGCGACGATCGCATCCGCCGAGAGATTCACAATAGCCGACAGGGCCATCTTTCGATTCTGTTCGATTGGGTCCATACTGCATGGTAGTAGGTAAATCGTTAAAATCAGCCGATGCACAATACCTACTGCAAGTGGCAAGACGTAGCTATGCATCCAAACGTTCGTCGGCCGTGCAAGCACGCGACAGGAATGACTAATTCCGGAACACAAAAGTACGTATACATCAAGCGACACGGACTCCCCAAAGCATGAACAGTCTGCCCCGTATAAATATATACCAAGTGGCAGTGCTACCATTATCCGTAGTACATTCCAGATCCCCTATTCTATGCCGCTGCCCATGACTCAACCACTTTGGTGGTGGTGCTACTGGGTGTTCATAAAAGATAAAAAAATTCATATATGGCTCGTTCATTGGGGTTTCCAGTTTTGAGGCATCGCCACAGGCGATAACGCAGTGCCAGTGTTTATATTCGTTCATGCTGGTCACACACCTAACTTTGGCATACTAAATTATATGCGCTGATATGCTAAAATGGTACATAGGTATGTGCTCACTAAGTGCTCCACTATTATGCCGACATGTGCGTACACGCACCCCGCACCAAAACCTCTCACACTACCCGCAATGCCATACCAATTAAAGAGGCGGGCGAACGAATGGTGGCAAACATACTTTACAATTGCGAAGAAACCTTTCAAGGTCTGGTTGCTGCCTCTGAAGAATGTCATGTACTCCTGAGTGCCCGTCATCGCAAACTGGTGGAAGAATACAAAAGGAAAGTTCAAATTTCTTATCGATAGGCTGCCCTATTATATGCCGAGATCACGCGCACAAACCTCAGTCGTCCGGACACCAGGTTTTGCACTGTACGAACATTTTCGAGGCATACGCTCGTTAGAATTTTTGCTATTTAACCGGCATGGCCAACACAAAGGTAGAATAAGCTGGAGAGAATTGTACCGTATCCACACAAATATCATAACTGATGGGACAAATATCGACAGAAAACCCCATATCCCTAGACTATAACTTTCCGTGAGTACAGAATATGAATGAATACTTAAATATG